TAAAGTCTGAAGATTTGTCTATATTTTGCAAATTGAAATAATTACTTTTCTTACCTCTGAAACAACAGACAAACCTTATATGTTGTCGTTAGAGATGGGGGTATACAAATATGAATAGCCCCACATAGCTGGAGTTAATGAGGGTTTGCCCCCTGGGGCCGAACCGTCCACTCATGCATCCGCTGCCGGCCCTGCTCTTCCTTCCAATTGCTCCGGACCACCCGGTCGGCTAGCCACTCCTTGTGAAAGGAGGGAACATGAGTCTCCCTGCAAGGCTGATGAGTGGCTTGCTGACTAGGTGCTCTGGATAATAATGAGCTTTAAGACACCAGTAGTGAATAATTAGTTGGACTGTGTTACTTGGCCTGCGGTGTAGATGTTTGTATTTTTAGTGGGGGACTTTTGTGGGTGGGGAGTATTTGGGAATTTTATGTGTGTGCATGTGTCTGGTCTCTGGGTGTCTGTGAATTTCGTTGTATGGGTATACTGTGTATATACTTACAATGACAATAAATTATTATTATTATTATTACTGGAGTTAATGAGGATTTGCCCCCTGGGGCCGAACCGTCCACTCATGCATCCGCTGCCGGCCCTGCTCTTCCTTCCAATTGCTCCAGACCACCCGGTCGGCTAGCCACTCCTGGTGAAAGGAGGAAACATGAGCCTCCCTGCAAGGCTGATGAGTGGCTTGCTGACTAGGTGCTCTGGAGCATTTGGAAGGAAGAGTGAGGCTGCTGCAGCCAGCGTATGTGTACACGTGAGTGGACTGTTTCAGAGGGGGCAGCTGTCTTGAGAAGTCTCAGCTGAAATTGCTTTTAATATATGAAGTTCCCTCCCTGTTTCTGCCATATCCTACTAAAGTTGCCTCTGAGTTGTTACTCAGTGCTAGATATAATAGACTTGTTGTTTGTTGTTTACTTTTTTATGCATTCAAAAACATATATTGTACAGAGGTTCATCTAGCCCAGTGATGGCGAACCTATGGCACGCATGCCACAGTTGGCATGCAGAGCCCTCTCTGTGGGCACGCAAGCCATAAGCCACCATCGAGAAATACTTACTCATCCTCCGATCCTGGATTTCGCCACTCCCCTCTGCTTGTGCAGTGGTCCAGAGGAGAGGTGCAAGTACGGCCATTACTGGTCTAGCCTGATGGGTGATTGGAGGACCAATAAGTTCTCTGTTAACATTGCCCCTAGGAAAAAACCAACAACAAGCATTTAACCCTTGCAGTGCAGAGGCAGTTGCTGTTTTTTCTAAACTAAAGCCTCAGTATTCAGGTTTAATGGCAGTGTTGGCACTTTGAAATAAATAAGTTGATTTTGTGTTGCAGTTTGGGCACTCGGGCTCAAAAAAAGGTTTGCCATCACTGATCTAGCATATAGATCTCAGATAGGCTAGAAATGGCATATTTGAAAGCTACAGTGAAATTGTTTTTTTCTCAAGAGTTTCCCAGTGTTCCGCACAGATTGTTCTTAATATTGTACAATACTCCCGCAAAATTCAAGGAGGAATGGCTGGTTCTACTGAGCATTCTATGCTTTTTGCACAGATAAATAATGCAAAAGCAAAGAAAAAAAGAAACCATGTGTTTTATTCTCAGGAATGCATCAAGAATTTCATGGGAGATGAGGGAGTTCCAGTGAGAGAGACAGGAATTTGTATTTTGTTTTTGAGTATTCATTACATCTCTGATCAGTGGTCTTCCTGTATAGTGTGACATGGGTTATGGGTGCTGCTAAAGAAGGGGAGAATTTTGAGCAATTTTGCCTTCTTCCAGCAGCTCTCC